TATATATATATATATATATATATATATATATATATATATATATATATATATATATATATATATATAGCCCCGGTTCTGAACAGCACACAAGTTGCGCCCCTCGATATGCAGTCTCTTCACCGAACACACAGGGGCCCCAAGGGGCCCCTGGGGGCCCCCTGGGGGCCCCCTTGTTTGTGGCCTTCTGCTGCGGCGAGTGCGATCGCTAGGGTACTAAAAGGGTCAGGTCCTCAGGGCCTCCAAAGCACCAAAAATTCTGTTGGCGGCATCTACGCTGCGAGCAGCAACCAGCGCCCCCCCCCTGAGAGTGAATGCCGGTGGGGGCCCCGGGTACGCATCCAGGGGCCCCTGGAGGGGGGCCCCCTGGGGGCCCCGAGGCCTATAGGGGGGGGGCCCTGCTGGTTGTTCTGAAGCAGGACGAGTACCCCCGTGCTGCTGCAGCAGGGGCTTGGGGAGGCAGCCTACTGCAGCAGGAGTAGCAGCAGCAGCAGCAGTAGGAGCAGCAGCAGCAGCAGCAGGAGAGGGGTTCTGCGCGGAGACAGAGGCAGGAGACAAGTAGCAGTAGCCCTGCACTCGCCTTCTGTCTGAGTCTAACACGAGGCCCCCCAGCATCTCAACAACTGCTGCTCCTGCTGCATGGTCCCAAACCATCAGCAGGGGGCTGCTGCGGGGAGCCGTGGCGTTCTCGCTGTCTCCTCGGTGGGCCCCCCCTGTCTCAGCAGCAAGGGGGCCCCCCCTCCTCTCTCCTGGTTGCTGCGCCAGAGGGCCCCCCCCCTCTGTTCGCTGCTGTTGCTGCGTTTGCTGCTGCTGCGGGCTGCAGCTGCTCGGGTAGCATGGTGGGGGCCCCCCGGTCTCGCGCGGGGGGCCCCCGTATGATGCAGGCAGCAGCAGAAAGGCGTCTGCGTGGCCTAGGGCGACAGCGAGGTACTTGACTACATGCCCACACCTAAGCGACAGAAATTGCTGCCCCTGGGGGGCCCCATGATGAGGGGGCCCCCAGGGTGGGGGGCCCCCAGTTCTGCTGCTCCAAGCAGTTTGGGTGTCTCCGCTTGGGAGCAGCAACTCCCCTGTCTCCGTGGCGGCCTGGGGGCCCTCCCGGGGGGCCCCCGGGGGCCCCCATGAGCTTAAACGCCTTGAGGGGCCCTTCTTATGAGAGAGGCGCCAGGGGGCCCCTGCAGCATCAGGGGGCCCCGATAAGTGCTGCTGCAGCAGCGGGTGCGTCCGCTTGTAGTTCGGCACAGAGACAGTCCAGCGAAAGGGGACAGAAGAGACAGATGCTGCTGCTTCTCCTGCTGCTGCTGCTGCTCCTGCTTGCTCTCCTCCTGCTGCTTTTGCTGCTAGTGCTGCTACTGTTGCTGCTGCTGTCTCCTCTGGGGTAGGGGAGACCCCCAACCCTCGATGATAAGGATTGTCGCATGGCGGCCAGTCGGTCAAGGGGAGAAACACAGCCCTCTGCTGCTGCTGCTGCTGCTGTCGTTGCTGCTGCTGCTTTTGCTGCTGCTGCTGCTGCTGCATGAGGTGCAGCAGGCCCCCAGTGACCTCATCTCTCACGCTCAGCCTCGCAGGGAGACCCTCCGCCGTCGTCAGCACACAACCCCGCAGATGCTCAGCGCAAATCAGGGGCCCCCGGTCCCCTCGCGGGGCCCCCTGAAGGGCCGCTTGGAGGCCCCCTTGAGGGGCCCCTTGGGGGGCCCCTTGGGGGGCCCCCCGCTCGCCTCCAGCAGCAGAACCAGCCTCGCAGGCCTCGGCCCCTGTACCGGACAGGGTACAGCCATCAAGAGAGACACGCCCAGCAGCAGCAGCAGCAGCAGCAGCAGCACCTGCAACGGCAGCCGCAGGAGCACCCGCGGTGGCAGCAGCAGCGCCAGCAGGAGCACTGACAGGAGCAGCAGCAGCAACAACAGCAGCGCCAGCAGCAGCAGCAGCAGCAGCAGCACCCCGTTCAGAAGGGTCGGGGGACCGGGTGTACTCCCCGCTCGGAAGGTTTAGCGGGGCCCTGGGTGTGCAAAAGGGCAAAAGACTGCTGCTGCTGCTGCTGCTGCTATTGCTGCTGCGCCACAAGTCGTAAGAAGGGCAGCAGATGGAAGCTAGCACTACCCGTGGCTGCTGCTGCTGCTGCTGCTGCTGTGTTTGGTCTTGTTGCAGCTTCTGCTGCTGTTCAGGCCGTACGGATGTCGTGAGTGGAGAAGACCTGTGCTGCTGCTGCTGAGAGTGTTGCGGCTGTTGCTCTTGCTGCACTTGCTGTTGCTGCTGCTCCCCTTGCTGCTGCTGCTGCTGCTGCTGCTGCTGCTGAGGACCCACCAAAAGAGCAACAGCTGTAGAGAAGCAAAAGCCGCGCTGCTCTCCAAATACACCGCGAGATCCATCGATGGGGTCAATCAGCCAGAAACGCATTTGCTGCGCATTGCCGATATCTGCTGCTGCTGCTGCTGGAGCTGCTGCTGCTGCTGCTGGAGCTGTTGCTGCTGTTGGTGATGCTGCTGCTGCTGGCGCTGCTGCTGCTGGTGCTGCTGCTGGCGCTGCTGCTGCTGCTGGCGCAGCAGCTGCCTCTGGGCGCCTCACCAGCCGCTGCAGTCCCCGTAAGAAGACGACAGTGGCGGGGCCCCCCCAATCCTCTTTCTCTGTTTCTTCTTTAGGGGCCCTGGGGTGTATGCGCACCTCCGCTGTCCTCGGGTCTCTTGCTCCTGTTGCTGTTGCAGTCGAGACCGT